CCTACTGAAACCATCCTGTCCTGTTTTTGTAAATGTTTTGATATTGTCTGCTGTCTTCAGGGCATTCGGTAGTTATTTTCCTCATTTATTGATTGTAGATTTCTTTGTTTTGTCCTGTTTTTTTCTTTTATTTGGTTATGTCTGAGCAGGCGGGCTGTGTGTTCTTTGTTGTTTACTCATCTGTGGACATGATACTTTTCACCTCCTTCTCCAATTGGCAGGGTCATTTGTTCAGATATGGTGTAGCAGGGCACGTCTAGCTAAAGAGGAGTTGCTGGGATGGGTTGTTTGTGGTACTTACTGTGGCCACCAGAGTGGGCCAGTAATCAGTGCAGGGCAGGTTCCAGTAGGCCATGCCTGGGCTGCTTGCTGGTGTGATGTTCAGCACACGGTGCATGTAGGCAGGATGGAAGGGGAGATTGTGATGTGTGGAGCTAAGATGGGTATGGGAGAGAGGAGAGAGGAACCGGAGCCAAAAACATACAAACAAACAAAAAGAGTTCTAGGGGAGCTTGCCATTGGAGTGGAGAGATGAGAGACTATGAAATGGAGAAAATCAAAAAGGAGAAGAAGAAAAAAATGAATAAATAAAAATTAGAAAAGCAAAGCTCACAGGGATCCCACCAGTGCAGCTATGAGGTCTGGGGAAGTTGCTCCTGGGCTGTGAAGTACAACCTGGCTAGAAGGAATAGAGGTGTCACTCAGCGCCACGTATTCACAAGAGAGGAAAAGAAGGAAAGTATAGAGAGACGAGAAACTGAGTAATGAAGAAAGAAAAAGGGAAAAAGAAAACAAAACAAATAAATTAAAAAAAAAAAAAAAGAAAACCCCCCCAAAAAACAAGAAAAAAGAAATGCGCTCAGGGATCCCTCTGCATGTCTGTGCAAACTGAGGGCGTAGGTCCCAAGCTGCACAGTACTGCCCGGCTAGAAACAGGCTCCCAATTCGAGAAAAGAAAAAGAAAACAATTTAAAACAAACAAAAAAAACCCGGGATCCCACCAGCATGGCAGCATGGGCCGGGAAGGAGTCTCACATTTGAGCGGTGTTTCACAGCCTTTCAGGAAGAAGCAAAGATGGCACACAGAGCCATGTATTTGAGAGAAAGGATGGAGAGGTGGTGAGAGGTAAGGAAGAAATCTAAAGAAGTAGAAAAAGCAACACCAGCAGCCAACAAATGTCACTTAGGGAACCGGCCAGTGTGGGCAGGTGGAATCCAAGCAGCACTGGGCTGAAGCCGATGCTTCCTGGCCAAAAGACTGTGGCCGCAGGAAGCAGAGGAGGCTGAGTGGAGGTGAAGAAGGGTGGGGGGTGGGAAAGCGTATATCGCTGGTTACCAGTTGTTCTGTCTCCTGCTGGAAGCTCCGTGAAGCCGCTTTCTCATACCCCAGTTCACTGGTCTCTGATAGGGGTCCAAGATGGCAGATCCAAGCTGTGTTAGCTGATAGAGGTCCTCTGCATGTATCTCTCCTTGCTGTCTGTTCTCTGTCAGTTTCTTATTCCACTCAGTGCTTGGCTGAGTTCTTTATCTCTTCATTTGATGCTTAGGGTTTCAGGATTGCTGTTTTCTCTGTTTGGCTTAGTTTTTTGGATCTTTGCTGTGGAGGAACAGTGTGGTGCTTCTGCCTGTAGCGCCATGTTGCCCGGAAGTCCCTTATTGCTGTTTTTCATGATAAGAAATCTACTTCACAAATAGCTTTTTCTATGAAATTTGTGAAAGCATTTTTGAAATCTTAAGTAGATTATCTTCAGTACTTGTGCTTTATTACCCTCCTCCTAGTTACTTCAGTTAAAAAAAAAAAAAAAGATTGCAACTTGTGGTGACCCCAACCCAATGTTTGTCAGAATAGAACTGTGCTCCATAGGGTTTTCAGTGGCTATGGTCTCTTGGAAGTAGATCACCATGTCTTTCTTTTAAGGTGCCTCTGGGTGGATTCAAACCTCCAACTTTTTGGTTAGTAGCCGAGCACTTAACCGTTTGTGCCACCTAGAGACTTACTTCAATAAACTGGTAACCACATGGCAGAAACTTTACACCAGTTAACTCATGGACTTGCTGCATAAGGCAATGTCAGAGCAAGAATCACCCATGAGAGGGGCTGGGAAAAGCCTGCAGGGAGGTCAGGCCAAGGCAAAGGGGTGGAGAAATGTTGCCAGGTCTGGCAGCCCCCTGACAGAATGTGGTCAGGGTTGGGCCAGAGACCTCAGAAAAGGAGACCGTATGAGACAGTGGCGCTGACCAGTCCCCAGAGGCCTAGGTGCACTTCCTACAGGTTAAAGTCTGTGCTGGGGAATAGTGTCGGCTCCGCCCTCTGGTCTAGAGGAGAACCAGATTCTTAGAGAGACACATGATGTCACTGGGAAGAATAACTTAGTCACAATTAATTTTCCTCTTCATTCTGGACAGAGATATTTTGCCTGTTTTTGTGGTTGACATAAACTAATTTCCTGTAGTATTGTTTCTGTTCCAATATT